TCATAGCAGGTACCATCACAGTCAGTATGCACTGCTGTAGTGATAGCAGGTGCCACCACAGTCAGTATGCACTGCTGTAGTGATAGCAGGTGCCACCACAGTCAGTATGCACTGCTGTAGTGATATCAGGAACCCTCACAGTCGGTATGCACTGCTGTAGTTAAAGCAGGTCCCACCACAGTCAGTGTGCACTTCTGTAGTCATTGCAGGATACCACCACAGTCAATATGCACTGCTGTTATCATATCAGGTACCACCACAGTCAGTATGCATTCGTCTAGGCCAGGGGTCGGGAACCTATGGCTCGCGAGCCAGATGTGGCTCTTTTGATGATTGCATATGGCTCGCAGATAAAACAAAATATTCTCACTTGTTTTAATCCATCCATCGATTTTTCACTGCGCATGTCCTGTTCAGGGCTGCAGGAGCAATTGTCCATTATTTTAATTGGATGATACTGGCCTACGTTTGCCGTTGCTGGGTAAAACAGGTAAACGCCCCCTTTTGAATCAGTCTGAGACTGCGTCTGCTCGGTCATTAGCTCAAAGCTAACCCTTCGACGAAGAAGATGGCGAAAAGAAAAAAAGACGACGAGTATCGTACATTTCAGGACGAATGGACCGAAGAATTCGCCTTTGTGGAGAGAGCGGGTTCTGCGGTGTGTCTAATTTGCAATGACAAAATTACATCGTTGAAACGGTCGAATGTAAAGCGGCACTTCGACACGCGCCACGCTACCTTTGCATCAAAATACCCTGCGGGAGACAGCAGAAAGAAAGCGTGCCAAGAGCTTCTGAGCAGGGTGCAAGCTAGCCAGCAGCAACTCCGCGTATGGACCCGGCAAGGTGACTATAATTCGGCTAGCTTTGCTGGTTCTTTAGCAATAGTGAGGAACGGAAAACCATTCACAGATGGCGAGTATGCTAAAACGTTCATGCTGGATGTAGCCAATGAACTTTTTGATGATCTTCCGAACAAAGACAAGATAATCAAACGGATACAAGACATGCCTCTGTCGGCAAGAACTGTTCATGATCGTACCATCGTGATGGCAAACAAAGTGGAGGAAACGCAAGTGAAGGACATAAATGCAGCGCCGTTCTTTTCTCTGGCTTTGGATGAGTCAACAGACGTGAGCCATTTGTCGCAGTTCAGCGTGATTGCAAGATATGCTGTCGGTAACACACCGCGCGAAGAAAGTCTTGCTGTTCTGCCATTAAAAGGGTCCACAAGAGGTGAGGATTTATTCAAGTCTTTCATGGAGTTTGCTCAAGAAAAAAGTCTACCTATGGATAAACTTCTCTCAGTGTGTACTGATGGTGCTCCGTGTATGGTGGGGAAAAACAAAGGATTTGTGGCGCTTCTCCGTGAACATGAAAATAGACCCATCCTAAGTTTCCATTGCATTATACACCAGGAGGCACTTTGTGCTCAGATGTGTGACAGGCAGTTTGGCGAAGTGATGTCGCTGGTCATTCGTGTGATCAACTTTATTGTTGCCCGAGCCTTAAATGATCGCCAGTTTAAAACACTGCTGGATGAAGTTGTAAATAACTATCCTGGTCTGCTTTTGCACAGCAATGTGCGTTGGTTGTCAAGAGGGAAGGTGCTTAGCCGTTTTGCGGCTTGCCTGAACGAAATCCGGACTTTCCTTGAAATGAAAGGCGTCGGGCATCCTGAGCTAGCCGACACCGAGTGGCTCCTCAAGTTTTACTATCTCGTAGATCTGACTGAACATCTGAACCAGCTCAACGTGAAAATGCAAGGCATTGGAAATACAGTGTTATCCCTTCAACAAGCTGTATTTGCTTTTGAAAACAAGCTGGAGCTTTTCATCACGGATCTTGAAACAGGTCGTTTACTACATTTTGAAAAACTGAGCCAATTTAAAGATGCATGCACAGCAAGTGAGCCCATTCAAAACCTTGATCTCCACCAGCTAGCTGGCTGCACATCCAGTCTCCTACAGTCCTTCAAAGCACGCTTTGGAGAATTTCGTGAGCACACTCGTCTTTTTAAGTTCATCACCCATCCAAACGAGTGTTCACTGAACACAGCCGACCTGAATTACATCCCTGGTGTCTCCGTCAGAGATTTTGAAGCAGAAGTGGCTGACCTGAAGGCCTCAGACATGTGGGTGAATAAGTTCAAGTCACTGAATGAAGATTTGGAAAGAATCACACGACAGAAAGCGGAGTTGGCGAGCAAGCACATGTGGACAGAAATGAAAAAACTCCAACCCGAAGACCAGCTGATTCTCAAAACTTGGAACGCGCTTCCTGTCACATACCACACACTGCAGCGTGTGAGTATTGCTGTATTGACCATGTTTGGATCTACGTATGCATGTGAGCAGTCATTCTCACATCTTAAAAACATCAAGTCCAACCTACGATCACGTTTAACGGATGAAAGCCTCAACGCTTGCATGAAGCTTAACCTCACCAAGTACCAACCCGACTACAAAGACATCAGCAAATCCATGCAGCACCAGAAGTCGCATTAATGGTGAGTGTTATAACAACATTATTTAAAAGAATAAATTCAGAGGCTTATTATACTGACATTTAGTTGAATTCACTTTTAAAATATATTATATGGCTCTCACTGAAATAAATTTCCTAATTTTTTGCTTTCATGGCTCTCTTAGTCAAAAAGGTTCCCGACCCCTGGTCTAGGCAAAGCAGGTCCCACCAAAAGTAGGTATGCACTCCTGTAATCATAGCAGGTGCCACCACAGTCAGTATGCACAGCTGTAGTCATAGGTCACCACCACAGTCAGTATCCACTGCTGTAATCATAGCAGGTATCACCAGTCAGTATGCACTGCTGTAATGATAGCACGTACCACCACAGCAGTTTCCACTGCTGTAGTGAAAGAAGGTACCACCGCAGTCAGTATGGACTGCTGTAATTATAGCAGGTACCACCACAATCAGTATGCACTGCTTTAGTGATAGCAGGTACCACCACAGTGAGTATGCACTGGTCTTGGGAAAGCATGTCCCACCAACAGTAGATATGCACTGTTGTAGTCATATCAGCTACCACCACAGTCAGTATGCACTGGTCTAGGGAAAGCATGTCCCACCAAAAGTAGGTATGCACTGCTGTAGTCATAGCAGGTACCACCAGTCAGTATGCACTGCTGCAATCATAGCAGGTACCACCACAGTCAGTATGCACTGCTGTAATCATAGCAGGTACCACCACAGTATGCACTGCTGTAATCATGGGTACCACCAGTCGGTATGAACTGCTGTAATCATAGCAGGTACCACCACAATATGCACTGCTGTAATCATCGTAGATTCTGCTATTCAGTTGGTAGATCATGCTATATAGAGTTAGTATATACTAAAAGTCAATATATACCACTACGGTCAGTAAATACTGCTACAGTCAGCAAATACGACTACACAGTCAGTAGATACTACTACGGTCAGTAGCTACTACTATAGAGTGAGTAGATACTGCTATAGAGTTAGTAGTTACTACTATAGTCAGTGGATACTACTACAGAGTCAGCAAATACTACTATACAGTTAGTCGTTACTACTATAGAGTCGGTAGATACTACTGTCGGCCCAGTAAATACTACTACTACAATCAGCAAACACTACTACACAGTCAGTAGCTACTGCTGGCTCAGTAGAAACTACTGTACAGTCAGTAGATACAACTACAGAGTCAAGAGATACTACTTACTCTGTTGTATGTAGGGTGTGTAGGTATAGATACCTACGCGGGGGTAAATATATTTTTTGAAGGGGGGGGGGTGTCCACAATTTTCGGAAACCTTTTAGATCAACTATTTACCCCACACTTTCTATTACTTTTTGGACTTTTGCAAGCCTCTTATAGTTGTATTGGCGGTGAAATGGATAAATGGCCCACCGGGCTTTCACAATACCTTAGTATCTGTGTATGTATATGTAAGGTTTTTAAGAGTAGTTCTAAAATATTTTTTTCACCCAGGGGCAACACCGGGTACTTACCGCTAGTATAAATATAACCTAAGTCACAGCTGAAGAGGTATGATGACAGGAAAGCTCTAGGACCAGAAGGAATAACTGTGGACATCAAACTTTGAGTAGATATTTACCAAATATATTCAGTTGTAAAATAACTCAATTGTAAAAAAAAATGCGTAAATTATAAGAGTTCCAAAAATTGGATAAAACTGATTTTATGAATTCCAAATCCATGAGACTGTCATACTATAGAAATGGAACACGACCAATTTAGATACCACACTTGGGCAAGCAAGCTGGGTTTAGGATTTGTTTTTCTCACATTTACCACGTACAATGCAGAAAAGCCAAAGGACAATTCAATACCATTGTTTATCTGAAGAGGATGAAAAGTCATTTGATTCAGTGGAAGCTACTGCAGTCATCTAAGCTCTCACAAACCGCGGCAAATAAAAAAACATGTGTATGCTAGAATTAACGCCACGCATTCACTATAATTCGTATAAGCCCAAGACAGCATTATGGCTCCAATAAACACATCGTGAACATTACACAACACGTACACACAGCTTTATACATCACATCCACAGATACAGACTGTACAGTCGATCCGTACAGAATGCTGGGATAGGTGCTGGAAGCGAGCGCCTATGCTGGCAAAAAAAACCATCTGGTTAATCCAGAAGCAGCATCATTACGTCGGACAAGCTTGACTGCTGATACCCAGAAAGTGGAAACAGGTTGCTGAATGTGCTTGCTTAAACAAACGCTGCTTAACAATATTCGTGTTAACAATATTCGTGTTGACAGGACACTCGGCCGATGGGCTCGCTGGACATTACGCGTGTTATTGTTTATAAGGAGCTCCACTCATACAGCCCAGTGTCGGCCTACAGGCGCCCGCTAGGCCGCCAGCGCGCGTCTCTCGTGTGTGCCCATAGTTTGCCGGTGTGCTCGAAAGACTATGGTCGAGGGAACGTAGAGGAGCAGTTGCGTAGAGTGGTGCGAGGTGTGAAGAGAGCGAACCGGGAGGTTGGGGCACACGTCGCATCCGCACTGGTGGCAGAAGAAGCGCCGCTGTTGAGACACGGCCTCCGCCATGTCCGCGTGACGTCACCGACCACACGTGACTGTTCCCTCCCCGACCTGACCACAACTTTACCCGCAGCCGCAAGATATGAACTGACAATTGACGTCATCGCCGCGTGACGTCACCACTGTAAGTTTGCGTCGTACTGTTATATGCCGTCACGGTGCCGCATTTAACTAATTTGACGTAAAATTTTGATTTAAAGCTTTCGTGACTGCAGTAATTCATATTCTTAGTTCTTTCGGTAAAGTCACGTTGAAGGGAAACAACAAAATAATAAAATATATATAAAACAATAAAAATTCTCACGACGTTTCGACCATAACACAAACGGTCGTCTTCAGGTGTGTTGGTTTGCATACATTTATTTTTAAACGGCGTATTTATTTATTTATAAAAACGTTAGCGCCACGCGCAGCGATTTGGCAGTTTATTTAGGACTAGTCCATCTATATTCTGAAAAGAGGAGGGGGGAGACGATTTTTTTTTAATGTATGCTGTCTGAAAGCCACTGTAAGCGTGAACAATCAATTAAGACCTGAAATGGTTTATCAAATCTTTCCAATGATTGCTAAGATAGAATCCATCTTCTCGGTTGAAATTGTCTCTGTGCTTGTATATGTGGATAGCCTCATGAACGAATCTCTCATGGTAGCCGGTTGGTTTGCAAAGAACCTCTGTCTTGGAAAAGTCAATGTCATGTGAACCTACTGCATTATAACAATGATCTGCCACGGCCGAGGTGTTGGTCCTACCGTGTTTAAGGTCTGCTTTGTGTTCACGAATGCGGTCCGAGACATGGCGTTTGGTTTCTCCAATGTAACTACTACCACAGAGGCAACTTAGTTTGTAGACACCAGGGTATTGTATGTCCGGAATCATATCTTTTACAGACGGAACCAGATCACGGATTTTATGTAATGTGTTGAAACGGACCTGGATCTTGTGTTTATTCAAGATTTTGGAGATCTTTTTTGTGATCCCCGCAATGTAGGGTAAAGTGATGGTTTTGAAAGGCTCCTCAAGAGGGTCCTTCTTCATGGTTTGAGTGATAGCTTTGCGGATTGCATAGTCGTAGTAACCATTAGCCTTAAGAGCTTGGTGTACATGCTTGAGTTCACTGCCTATGTGTTCCTGGTCGGATATGCATTGAGCTCTATGATACAGAATCTTGATGAGAGAATTCTTCTGTGATGGATGGTGGTGGGAATCCGGTTTCAGATAAGCATCCGTATGGGTAGCTTTCATGTAGACAGAGTGGCTCATTGAACCATCAGGTCTCTTTTTAATTAGGACATCCAAAAAAGGTAGCTTGCCATCTATTTCGACTTCCATGGTAAATCTGATGGCTGGGTGTATGGAATTGATGTGGTCGAAGAATTGGTCTAGAGTAGGCCGGCCATCGATTATCGTGGCTGTCAGTTTCAGTTTCATTTTATTTCATTTATTTGGTATAGCCCTGTGAGCCATTCGGCTCTTGAATCGGTTGCAACCACAACAAACAAAAAACAAAAACATGAACAAGCAAACATCTTAAAGTGACTATGCGCAAACAGAAAAATCCAGGAAAAAACAGCAAAATCTTCCAGAAAAAGCACCGTACACCAACGCTGTGTGCAAAAATCTCAGTGGGATGCAAGTCAAACAACAATAACCACAAAACAACTTAGATTAAAGCCATCAGTCTAACTCCGTACTACAACAAACAAACATGGCCAAACCAAAAAAACTTTTCGAAATCACCAAAATAAAGCCATCAAAGCAATGTAGTTCATAGTTCATTTATTTGGTATAGCCCTGTGAGCCATTCGGCTCTTGAATCGGGTGCAACCGCAACAAACAAAAAACATGAACAAGAAAACATCTTAAAGTGATTATGTGACTGTGCAAACAGAAAACAGTGTAACAGTGATCATAGGAACTGTGACCGAAATTTCACAATAAACGACATAAACAACATGTACCAGCAAACCCTGTAGTCATAGCTGGCTGCATGAGTCACTCCACAACAATGTGGGGCTACCGTCCCCTGCCATCACCGAATTGTCGGGGCCGTTGCTCCCCGACTCCCCCGTTCCATTCATATCGCTACCCCCCAGTTGTTCTGTGGGGTTCGGGTTAGCGACCCCCACCTCCTCACCCCCCGGGGCCCCTGACTTCGTTACCGACCGCGTAGGCATGGCTCAATTGGCGGGGTGGTACGCTTTACACTTGCGGCGCGCTACGCTGTGCAGTGGCGGCGTGCCGCGGGGAGCGCGCTCGCAAGTAAAAACCCCATCGCGCGCTTAAACAAACAGGTGCGGCGCGCCGACGCTTGATTCCCTCACACACACGCTCCACGCGCTCCGGCAATAACAAACACGCCGTTACCACTTGCCCGGCCCCGCACGCCAATCGCACGCGGGGGAGTTGGGGTCGGGGGGGGGCAGGGCGTCTGCCGTGCGTGTGCTGATTGGAGGGGGTCACTACGTCCCGATTTAAAGGGCCGTTTAAACAGTCGTGCGAATACGCGCACGCCCGGCGCGTGTAAACAGTTCCGACCGTATTTGTACGGCAGGAAATGCCGGGTGCGCACCGACTATTATGCCCTGCAGTTCCTCTTTACATTTGTAGTGGAGTAAACGATACGCATAGGAATTGGCCACATACAGTACATACAGACATACAAGGGGAGTGGGTCACATGAGGTCGAACAGGTGGTCGAGTCACGGGTGGCGTAAACAACCCGAAGTAATTAAAGGAGTCGTGGCACGAGGGCTGTGATTGGTCGAGAGGCTGTTAGCGTTAGGTGGCGGTATCTCGAAGTCTGACCGTTGGACAGGTGCGAGCTGGCGGGAAAATGCCAGCGAGCCACGTGGCAATTAATTAAGGCTTATTGGACCGACTATTATGCCCTGCAGTTCTTCTTTACATTTGTAGTGGAGTAAACGATACGCATAGGAATTGGCCACATACAGTACATACAGACATACAAGGAGAGTGGGTCACATGAGGTCGAACAGGTGGTCGAGTCACGGGTGGCGTAAACAACCCGAAGTAATTAAAGGAGTCGTGGCACGAGGGCTGTGATTGGTCGAGAGGCTGTTAGCGTTAAGTGGCGGTATCTCGAAGTCTGACCGTTGGACAGGTGCGAGCTGGCGGGAAAATGCCAGCGAGCCACGTGGCAATTAATTAAGGCTTATTGGAAAGGGGATAAAACGCTAGGTGATTTGAACGGGCAGTTGAGTTGTAGTTGGGCAGTTGTTGGCGAGAGGTGGAGAGATACGAAGAGGACAGCTGGCAATGTTAGGGAAGAATATATTGAGAGCCGAACCCAAAGGACAGTAAATAGCGATAGGGAGAGTTAGCATTAGCGGAGAGGTAGTTACGGAGGAGATAGGTACAGGGAAAGTTACAGATAGAGTCACTGTGTGTGCGGAGATAGATAGAGTCACTGTGTGTGAATAGACAGGCAAGTCACTGTGTGTGCATAGATAGATAGAGTCACTGTGTGTGAATAGACAGACAAGTCACTGTGTGTGCAGAGATAGATAGAGTCACTGTGTGTGAATAGACAGACAGGTCACTGTGTGTGCGGAGATAGAGGAAGTCACTGCCTGTGTAGAGATAGCGGAGACACTGTGTGTGAGGAGATAGAGGGAGAACCACTGTGTGTGGAAGAGGATGTGTGGACGGTGCTGAGGTGAATCGGAGTGTCCGAGTTGGCGGAGCGCGAAGAGGAGAATTACTGTGTGGTACAGAACGATGGAATAAAAGTGAAGGTGGAAGAAGACGGTTGTCGTCCGAGTGAATTCACGGCACTACACATTCAAGGGACCGCGGGGGCAGATGGCCCGATGGCTGGCGCAGCTGCAGGAGTACAACCTGCAAATTGAGTACCGAGCTGGGCGTACGCACGCAAACGTGGACGCCTTGTCGAGGCGGCCCACGGTGTGCGCCAAGACAAGGGTGGAGGAAGTCTGCCTGTGCTTCACGGGGGGCCATTGCCAGTAGGTGGCAGGCCCCCAGGAGCGCACCGAGACTAACCCCCCTCCAGTGAGAGACAGTGCAGTATGTGCAACAGAGAACCTGACAGGGGGAACCAGGTACCCGGGGGACCACTCAGCGGGCACGGAGCCCACACCCCGGGGCCCGACGGGTCGCTCAACCCCACCAGATCGGATCCAGGAGGACGTCGGCTGCGCCTTTCCGGGCCTGGACGACGAGCAGCTGAGACGGACCCAGCTGCGGGATCCAGATCTGGGAGCAGTGGAGGCGGCCCTACGGGAGAAGGAGGACACCCTACCAGGACTCTGGAGTGGTTTGTATGCCCGGTTGTGCGTGCAGAATGGGGTGGCACGGGAACTAACCGAAGCCGGCCAGCCGGGATGCATCTGCGTTCCCACCCAAGTGCGACCCCAGCTGCTAAGACTAGTGCACGACCACCCGCTCGGGGGCCATGACGGGAAATGGCGCACTCGGGAAACCCTGTGCCGCCAGTATCTCTGGCCCAAGTTGGCACAAGATGTGGCCGCCTGGGTGCAGGTCTGCCGCGCGTGTCAGCAATGCGGGCCGAAACCAGCGCAATACCAGGTACCCCTGAGACCGTTCCGCGTCAGACGGACGAACCAGCTGGTTGGGATCGACCTGCAGGGACCATTCCCGCGATCCCACTGGGGCAACCGATATATTCTCGTAGCGGTGGAGTACTTCACACGCTATCCCGTAGCGGTGGCCATCCCCGATAAGACAGCCCTCGTAGTGGCCCGGGCGTTCGTGGAACACTACGTACTTAAGCACGAGATCCCTGAACAAGTCATTACTGACCAGGGTAATGAGTTCGAGGCAGAGCTATTCCAGGCGCTGTGCCGGGAGTTCAGGATCCAGAAGGACCGAACTACGGCGTATCACTCCAGGCAAATGGGATGGTAGAGAGGATGAACCAGACTCTAGCCGGGAAGCTTAAACGCATGGTGGCCACGAATCAACGGGACTGGGACGACCACCTCCCCTATGCTCTGTTCGCCTACGCCACCACAGTACACACATCTACGGGACAGACCCCGTTCCTAATGATGTTTGGTCGCGAGTCTCGCCTGCCCGCAGATCTGCTGT